GTCCACATATGTGGATGCAGGTCCTAGGAGGTTAAAATACGATTGCATTAAATATTTACTGTTATTTAGAAACAAGTGTGCTTCTTTGGAATAACAAGGCTATTTCTCAGCATCACTCCTTTGAACGTGTCCAGTTGAAAGTCGGTTTTTCAGGTCCATTCTATGTGCCTTATTAAAATAGACATCAATGATGTTGCTGAGTTCTTGCAAATTTAGTGGAGTGTCCCTTTGCAAGCCTGATAATTGTGCGTGTGATGTTTGTTTTTCAGGTGAGAAGCCATTCCAGTGTGAGTTTTGCGAGCGGCGCTTTGCCAACAGCAGCGACCGAAAGAAGCACTCGCAGGTCCACACAGCCTCAAAGCCCTACGACTGCAAGGCAGTAGGATGCACCAAGTCTTACACCCACCCCAGCTCCCTGCGCAAACACATGAAGGTTCACATCAAGTCATCACCTACCTCTGAAACCCAGGACCTGTACAATGCCATCCCTCTTCAACTCCAGCAACCTCATCCGGCTGTCCTCGAGCCCCTTGACCTTAAAATGAACCACCTCTCTCCATCACTTACTGACAAAAACACTCATTTTTCTCTGCTGTCCAATCACCAATTGGACCTCCGTTCAGCCAGCGAAGTGGACCACAAGCTGCTGCTACGGAGTTCGTCTCCGGTAGCGATGCCTCTGGATCTCTCTCTTTCAGGCCTGAAGAGCCAGCTGAGCCAGCAGCAGCAGAGCGGCAGGACCCCACGGAGGAGCCAGCGCTCAGTCAACCCAGCCTTACCTCAGTTGTCTAACATTAAGGAGTGGTATGTCTGTACCAGGACTACAGCACCACACTTTCCTCTCCTTCACCCAGACCACATCAAATCAGAACCTAGTGATGACGAGGAGTACGTCACGTAAAGTTGAGGGACTGGTGAAATTTGACTCGCAGAACAGATCTCATATCGTCAGATCCAGGTCGGGCCAGAACAAGCAGCTGCATGGTTCCACATCGGTGGCCCTTGGAGAAGGTCAAAGGGACTGTGTCACATTAAAAATGTGCGGATCAACAGAAACGGCTCAAATGGTGTCGGAAAGGACGGGAGGAACTCCTGATTATGAAACAAAATGTTTTACTGCAAGTTATCAGTCATGGCTAGCTAACCTGAACTAAGATAAGGAGTTAACTTTGTGCAAGTGGATCAGCGAATATTAAAGAGATTTGTGTACATGACGACCTCTAGAGACACGGATCAATGACCAATTCAAGGGCTCCACTTAGGTGAAGCAATTTTAGGGGCCAAGTTGATGGAAAGAGGTTAATGTTTCCTTGATGTCACAGCACCAATGTACACAAGGTAACACGGCAGGACCAAACCAGCAGGTACACAGGGGAGTACTTAAATTTTAAAACGTTGATCTGCAGCAGCTGATTCTGCTGTCAGGCCTCTGTGGAAGCATACAGAGGTCTTTAGTAACAAACAGATGGCAACAACATGTCCAGAAGTATTTGTGAGTTTAATCCAACGTAGCAGAAGTCAGTGAAACGACACTCGCATCCTTGTTTGTACTGAATCTCGGTTGGATTATGAGTGAGTTAATCTCCTGTGTTTGTTTACACTTCATTTCCAGCACATCAAGCTTTCAAAAATCTCATGTCCTACACACAATGTGCATCAATAAATCAAGAAAAGAAGCAGAAGTGTGTATGATTTTTTAAACTGCTTAAAAAAGTAACTGTTTGAAAGCGCACTCTTCATATGTGGCTCAGATTCATGATCCATCCACCAGAAAGGTTCAGAGACCTGCAGCAGGTGGAACTGTCCACCAACCATGACCACAGTGGTTCCTCCTAAAAGGTTGTCATTTAATTTTTCCATGAACACATTGCAAAAGTCTATCTAAACATGATAATTAGGAAAAACCGTCTTATTTACATTCACCAAGTATTCACACTTACCATGTCAAAGCTTACCCCAGGCAGACAGAGGGCTGTATTGACTGTATCAGGGGTTTCTGCCATTGGAAGTCTCCATGTTTTTGTCTATCATGTTTTTGTCTTGAAACTAGTGATGGTAAATTAGATTCTTTTTACTGAATCGAGTTTTAATGAGTCACTCACCAAAGTGAATCGATTTTTTGAGTCATTTGATTCACTGAGTCAGTTGACCAGAGAGTGCAAAAAATTTACATTTTCACTCAAACTTAATTTGTTTCTCTTTTCATGTAAATCCCACTGCTAAGATGAATGATTCTAAAAGAAAACAACTATTTTATAGAGCAAAAAAGAGCAAAAACATTTCTAAAATTAAGCAATTTTATATCAAAATTGCTTAATAAACATTTATTTTGTTTATTTGTATTTTATTAGTATTTTCCTTAAATGTGTTAAATATATATTTTCTCATCTAAATGTCCACTGAGCTGTGAGCCAGGGGGCGGTAATGCGCCTTAACATTGGTTGCCAACCAAGAAGAAGAAGAAGCTGTGAGCCAGGAGGGAGGGGGTGACTAGCTCAAATGTGCTGTTAGCATGTTAGCAGAGCGATGCTACTGTGAACCGAGGAGCTATTTTCTTGATGTGAAATTCTACTCAGGGTTTTTTCTTCCAGTTCAGAGCAGAAATGCTTTTGTTAAGAAACTGGCTGTTGTTTTTTCCCTCCCACAATTTTAATTATAAGCTAGATACATTGCTGCTAATGGAATTAGTTTGCTAACAGCAACAGGGATGAGTCAGTGAGTCAGTTGGGCTTGTGAATCATGATTCACGAGTCAGTAAAGTGATTCTCGAGTATTGAACGATTCGTTCACGAATCGAACATCACTACTTGATACTCTGACAGAGACAGTAAGGTAGGTGGCGCCCCTGTACAGACTGACTCAGTGATGTGAAAGGTAGACCTGAACGTGCCATCCAGCCTTTGGTAGTAAGATTATGTGGAGAGTGCACTCATCCACTGCCAGGATGTTTCACAGCAGCGCAGCATGCTTTTGGGCTAATCTGAGTGAAAAGAAGCTAAAATGAAAGCTGTCTATATTTTGACCAGCAGCTGGTTCAGAATTCAAAATTTGATACATTCTTGTAACATTAGCTACATAGCTACATATTAGCTACAGGCAACACCAATCAAATGCGTCGTCATGCTGTGTTCTTGGGTAAGTTACTAAAGCACGTTGATAAGTGCTTTCTGACACTGCTCGAGTGAACTCAATGCTATTTCATTAGGCATACCTGCTGAATTGCTTGTTAATGCAAAGATCAAATTAGCCATTCACACAGCAGAACAATGCGTTTACACATGCAGTCAAGATAACAGTGAACTTCGAAGTGAGCATCAGAATTGGGACGAGGTGTTGCTGTTACCAGGTGGACTGCTCTGGGACTACAGACAAACCTCTGTAGTGTTAACAGAGAATGACCTCAGAAAGAGAAAGCATCCGCTGAGTGACAGTTCTCTGCTAGAAAATGATGGTCAGACTGCTTAGAGTTGGAAGGTAAGTCCATTAACCTCTTCTTACAACCAGACTGGAAAAACGTTGCCTGGTCTGATGAGCCGTGGCTTCTGCTGCAACGTTCAGATGGCAGGGACAGAGTTTAATGTAAGTAATGTCACAGCGTGAATTAACCCTGCCTTGTATCTGCAGCTCTGGACGTGGGTGGTGGTGTATTGGTGTCTTGACATATGGTCTTGGCACCCTTAATGCTATTCTTTAAAGACCAGAGCCAGACTGTGAGTTTGAGTCCAACACTGCATGTCACAAAGCTCACATAATCTCAAATGGGTTTCTAGAACATGGCGAGGAGTTCTCTGAACTCTGATGGCCTCCAGAGTCTCCGGAGCTCAGACCAACAGAGCGCCGTTGGGATGTGGTTGAAACGGGGGATGAATTCAGCCAAGAAATCTGCAGCAACTGTGTATCCTTTAGCTTCAAAGGCTAAAGGATGTAATTAATGAAGTGTCTGGGTGTGAGTGTGTCTGCAACCGACATGTGATGTGTTAATATCAGCTAGGATAGCACCCTGAGGCCCTCAGAAACCTAATGGCAAACAAAGGGACAGCATTTTCAGTAAGCGTGTTTAGTCATGTTTATATAACAATGAAAATTTTGTTCCAAGCATTTTAAGTTACTTTTGGGTTCGAGTGTGCTATCTTCACAGCTCTGGTGAGTGGTGCTCTTGGACTCTTGTGAAAAGCAAACATTTCTGCACCTGGATTAAACCCAGGAGGCTCTCCAGCCAAGAAAGAATTCAGCATGTGTAAGTTATTAGGCTCATCCGAGGGCCGACTGCGGCTCTGGAAGGTTTGAATCACGACTCCTGCACTGGGCATGTGCAGTGCTGTGCCCCCTTCCTCATTTCTTAGTTGTTGTTTTTTGCATATCTACAAACACATTGCTCACATGCTTCCAGTCATCAACTAAACTTTAATGTTGGACAAAGACAACCTGAGTAAATACAAAAAGAAGTTTTTAAATTAGATTTCTTAAGAGAAAAGAGTTATCCAAATCTACCTGAAACATTTTTGGTCACTTTAAATATCTATCTGTTATATTTGTTGCAGTTGCTGCTGCCCCGTTGGCCTGGCCGCTCTTATAAAGACATGTTTAATGTCAATCAGAGTTCATAATCAAAG